AGCTTCTGGTTAAAAAAAAAAAAAAATAAAGACTTTTGAATATTTAACAAATAACCAGCATTCAGCACATTTATGTAAAAATATCTCTGGACTGATCTTACATGTTTTTATGCCAATACATTTTAGAAAGTATGATCATGAATTTGAAGTGCGAATTTGAAAGTTAAGCCTTTACTGTTGCTAGTTGATTAATCATAGGAGAACCACCATCTCCAGTGGAAGAAGAAATGCTGGCAAACCCACTAGCTAGTGATCTGGGATTCTCTGTGAAGTTAGCAGCATATACAAGTGCTGAACTTGTAGAAGTTGAGGGAGATGGGACAATGTAATGCTCAAGATCAAGTTCCAAATTCGCAGATGAGAAGTTCTGAATAAAAGACAAAATTAAGCATAAGGTGCATAATTGTTTGAAAAAAAGTTGGTTTACACATGTATTAACCAAAAGTGGAATAAGAGAAAAGAGGGGAGCATACAAAGGGTATCAGTTAATGTACATTATCAGACAAGTTATGGTGCGTAGTTAGTGTAAGATACAAAACGCTCTACTATCAGGAATTATTGGGTTTTACCTGACTGGTCACTGGACCATTGACAATAACCTATTCACTATCACATAAGAAAGTACTACAGAACAAACTACCTGTCCATGAAGGGAATGACAACTAAAATTTGCTGACATTAAAGAAAAATCCTGAGTCATGACTAGTTCTGTAAACTAAAAAGAATTTAATTGATTGTGCATGTAAAACAGGAGAGACTAGTTGGACTTTCACACAAATCATGGTTAGAAACTATTTTCATTTTGCACTAACAGTAGAAAAACAATAACTACAGCAAAGTGTGATTTTATGATTAGGCATCAGGAGTAGCAATTTAAGAGAGAGAGAGAGAGCAAAAAATGTAAAATCTGAAAAAGGAGAAAACAAGTATATGAATTATTCCAAAGAATGAGCATCTTTTCCAAATTTATGTAGATGAATACCATTTATAGAACAGAACTAATTACCATTTTCCTAATAACTATAATAACAAAAAGAAAATAATAAGACCACTTAGTTTTACAGCTACTAACTATTACTGTCCTTTATGCTATCAGAATTATTTTTAATTAGAAGTTACAACTGTACACAGATAAATCTGTCTGTTAGGCTGTCATTGGTATTTAATTAGATGTTACATTTCTATAATTACTATTTAATTTGACATTACAATTTCTTGCAAATCTGTTGTAAATATCTGTAACGTCTGTCAATCAATTTTTCACAAACAGTGTTTCTAATTCTTTGTTATGGTCCTTGTGATTTTCTGAACTAGCAGGGAGTTAATTACCAATAAAAAGGAGTGGAGTCCACTGAATAGACAGTAATTCTAAGCAAAAGATTTAAGATCTCTCTTATACAACAACAACAACAACAACAACAACAACAACAACAATAACAAATCAAGCATTTTACCACTAGATGGGGCTGTTAGCTACCCGGGTCAAACAACACCATGATGCTCAATAGTAAACCTAATCTACAAACAAACCATTGACCTTTACATCCTTCTTAATGGTTTCACCTATAGTTTTCTTGGTGTCCCTCTACCTCTAGTGATAAGGGCCATAAGCCTACCCTCCATCCTATAATCTACTTCCCTTACTAGGGCTTCTATAAGTCATCTCCACACACAGTCAAAACACCTAAGATGAGATTCTACCATTTTTTTCTATTACAGGTGCTACCCAAATTTTCTTTCCAATGCATTCATTCTTAACCATATCCTCTCTAGTATGTCCACACATCTAACATGACTTTCTCATCTCTATTATTACACTGAGTTTATTTTCTAGTTGGGTTCTAATGGTCAAAACTCAGTTCCATATGACATCACAGGTCTTATAGCTTTTCTTTAAGTTTGAGTATTGCCTTGTTGTAGAAATAACATTCAAGGAACTCCTCCATTAGATCTCATTAATGTAAAGGAAAATAAGATGATTTTTTTTACAAGTTAGCATCTTTAAAGTAAAGAGGAAGAAAAAGGTAACCCTCTTAAAGAGTACTTGATTCTTAATGTCACACACCACCACAACCACATCTTCCTAAAGGAAAACCAAACATAAAGAAAAGTGGTAATTCGAGTCTTACCTCACTACCTGTCTGAAGGTCTGAATTCATGCTGATATCAGGTATCCCACGTACAGCCGAAAGACGGAAATTCTCCTGATACGCCCTCCAACTAGCTGCAAGATCAAAAGGAGAAACCCTTTTTGCTTCCACAAATACCCGATACTCAAGAACTTGTTCATTATCAAGTCTAAACAAAGCCTGCCTGTCACCATCTTGCCATGCTCCCCCAATAAGTACTCGGCTGGGACCCTCCTCAACAAAACAAGGACTATCGATGCACTTGGGCTTCAAAAGGAACTTAAACTCTAAAGCTTCTGAAAATCCCAAACAAATTCAACACGTCGTGTCATAAATGGAGTCCAAGCAACCCCTTTCACTTTATCAAGATAATCACCAAAACTAAACTTCAGGACACCTCAATACCATCCCAATGAAGCTATCACTCAATGCTCAGAGTAAAACTTTGCATTGTTTTTTTATTCTTTCTGTTCTACATATAAGTATAAAGCTAATTTAAAATGAAAAGCAAACGCCAAGCCGGTGAGAAAGTATTACCATGATTAGGTGGAACAACAAAGCTCAACTCCCACACAGACGCGGATTCCCGTTCCATAGAAAGCTGAAATTTTTGCACCAAAAACAACAACTATAAGAAGAACTAAGAGAGACACAGATTAATAGGAATGAAATGGTGAAATGGGTGTGAATGAAAATTACAGCTTTGGAAGGATCCCAAGATGGGCCTAACGGGGAAGAACCAGATACGTGAGGGAAAAGGTCCCCAGAGAGTGTGAGATTGGGATTCTCCATCTTCACCGAAACATAAAGCAAACCCGGGATTCGAACCGGCGTATGGTGAAAGCTATCTCGCTCTTCTTCATCGTTCCCCGCCATTGATTCTTCAGAGTTTTGTCAGTCTGTTAGAAGTAGCTGCTGCAACAAAAACAGAACGGATGGTGATGTCTGTGTTAAAAAATCCTTATCCAAGTGTCTAAATATTAGCATTTTTAGCATTGTGATAGATAGAGAGGTCTATAAAAGGACAAGATGTGCGATTAGATTATATTTAAGAAGATAACTTTTTCTTAATTATTGTACTTAATTGTTGTTATGTTTAATTTCGTTTCGTTAGCTTTAATTACATCTCTTCCCACAATGTAAAACATTTTTTAACTCGAGATTTTCATTTGCAAAAATTGAATTCCATTCAACCTAGTAGGAGATTTTAAATTTTTATTAATATTTGATTAAATTTTATTGATGATGTATTGCTTTTTTATAAGTAAATAACAGTACAAGAGATACTCACATTCCAAAAATAGAATAACATTTACATATATTCATTTAAATATGATAACATTTTTAATTACATTTAGTAATTAATTAGTATTATGTAACGTAATTTGAACAAAATTTGTTAAATATAAAACAAACTAAAAACTTGTAATATGATCTACTAATGTCATCTGAACAATTTATACCTTGGTAAAAAAATTAACCTACGTATAACTTGGCAAGGAAAATAACATTGTATAAAGCTTTTGATTTTTCACTCTTAAGCAATAATCGACATATGACTATGACCCCTCGTATAAATCGTACACATAAACGTCTAAAAACATAAAACTTAAATACCAAAATGTTCAGGTGAAAAATAATGTATCATAAACCTCAATTATTTATAACATGTGCCTAATTTAAGATATCATAGGTCAATATCTTGATAAAAACGTAGATATTAATTGATGAATCTTTAAATAGATTTAAAATTCCTTATTCGAATTCAAGCATTTAGAAATTTCATCAAAACTTTTTTTTCATTAAAATAATATAAATATAAAACATTTAATTCTTACATCATTTTTAAATCGATTTAGGTTAATAAAAGTTATAAATTATATAGAAAATCGTATCTAATTCATTTAAAAGTTTTTATAAATAATAATTAGTACATTTACATATATGCGTGTCAGACGAGAGGTATAATACTTTTTTTATATTAAAAAAGAAAACTTATTATAAATAAAAAATTATGAAATATTTTTCTGATTTTTTTTTTAATTTAAGTAAATCAACCCACTTATATAAACTTACCAAAAACTGACTCACATACATGGATTGAACTACTCAGGTAATTATACTTTTATCAAAATTAATTTAAAATTAATTTTAACCCATTATAGTTAAATTATATAAAAATAAATAAATAAATAAAATTAATTTGTATATATGGTTTAATTTTCTTCATCAGATATTAAATTTATAATTAAAAAAAATTGAACATATTGCTCTCTTTGTTTTTTATTATCCCGTTACTTGCTTAACTATTTATTGTTTTTTTTTTCATATTAATATCTTTGTATAAGTAACACATAAGTATAATATATGAAAATGATTTTTGACGTAAAATATTAATAGTTCAATTACTAAAAATACATTCATATTATATTTTTATAAATTAAAAAATTATTCTTCATTTGAACTTCCATTTTATTGTATTAAGATAAACTAATATTTAAAAAAAAATATAACGAGAATGAAGAATAAAGGTGTAAGTATATATATATATATATATATATATATATATATATATATATATATATATTGGTCTTGATTAGTTTTCATTTTCTTTCATTCATTAAGCCTTTATTGCCAACTATATCTTGGTACTATGCAGCCTATTGAGTAGTATATGGAAATCATTTAGGGAATGGTTTGAAAGCAGAAACACTCTAATGAGGATTTATCTCTTGCATAATTAAGAAAGCGTATACCTACTAATCAAAAGTAGGCAATGCTTTAGGAAATTACATAGAGAAGAGCATATACATTTTCTTAATTCCGCAGCTGATGTGTATATATCAAATAATTAAGGGAAGACAATTTAAGTTAAGATACAGGTTTGTGGCAAGTTTTAACATGTTTGGGGCATTTAATCAGATTATCATAGCTTGGAATAGCACAACCAGTCTTCTTCAATTCTTGAAATGCTTGTATGGTCTCCGGATCAAAGCCACCTGCAAACTGAAAGGCTTCATGGCTGATGAGTTGGATAAGAGGAAATATGAACATAGGGGTGTTTGAGGAATGTACTCTACCTGGTGTACTCTGAATGCAAACTTAACTCCTTGTACAAAGAGGTTATCTTCCTGCAAAAGTTCATTTGACTCCAATTCTTTGGTTATCCGTTTCATGAATTCCTTTGCCAGTCTCAATGAACTCATCTTCATCTGCAGTGAATAACAAGATAAAACCTTTCAAGTTTCAATTTATCTCTTCTACAACATGTATAACATGAAGGGTATGGATTTTTGGGGTCATTGAAATGATACTATTCTGGCTAAGCTAGAAGCATAGGACATTATATATACCCCAATCAGTTTTCTGATTGTTTGATCGATGTGAAATGGATCTTCATGCATGATTTCATTTAGAGTCTTGTTAGTTCTATTCTTGATTCTAGCTAGGGAATACAATAAAAAACATTTTCTTCTTGATTTAACATAAGCTTGAGTTTAAGCATGCTAGCCAATAAACCTTATTTATTAGAACAAAGCTCACCTCATCATTAGTATGAATACTCACCAATAAACATAATTTAATCAAAAGGTTGTGTTATATTACGGTCTCAAGTCATAAATAAGCTATCTAGTATCTACTTCCTACCTGACCAATAATGCCTGAGTCCAACATCCACTCCCAAGGGATATGGAAATTTCTGTATCGCTTGCTAATACTCTCCCTCATCCTCTCTTTAGCACTCACACTTCTCTCCAACCTGCACATTTGAAAGTGGCACTTTCAATTAATTTTAAGTTTTGCTCAAAAGTTTTAGTAAGAAAATTCTAAATTTTTACATGCTCGCCTGTCTTGCAGTGCTTGTATCTTTCTCAAAGTCTGAGCCAATGGCTCTTTGGGATTGTCCTCATAGGATGAAACTTCAGATTCAAGGTTCTTCAGATCTCTGTAGTTACAAGCTGCTTCCCTGAGTGCATCTACTTTTTGTTCTGGCCACTGAGGAAAATGTTTTAGCACCGACCTCTCATCCACCAATGAAGATAGTTCCCCATCTAGCCATTTCACAAATTCTTCCACCTCAGAAACGTCTGCAAATGAGGCAGACTCTACTTCCTTAATTAAGAAACTGATGAACTCCCCTTGTCTTTGAACTTCTGATTTTATCTGTCCAGGAATGTGCATACGTATCAACGAAAAAGATGAAGATTAATCAACATTAGAAAATTTAACACATAAAAATGAGTATTGAGAAGTTTGGAGCAAAACTTACAGCTGAGAGATAAGTTGAGCGGTTTTCAATTTCCTCAATCATGTTTCTGCTGAAAGCTACTGTGGGAATCCCATTGGAATGTATTTTGTTTTCCATGTTAGCATCCTTTCGTGTAAGGGAACGATACAATTCTATTACTTCCGGCACACGGCGCACCGCTTTTAGCCCAACTAGTGATAATTTTGGTGGTGTAGGAGGTGGTGGTGGTGCTATTGTTGGCTGCACTTTAAGTCCTTTCTCTTTTTTATGCAAAGGAAGAAGGAGGGTGGCAGAAGGTCTTGGTGGAGGAGCTGGAACTATTGCTGGTTTGTCTTTTCTAGGTGCTGAGTCTTGGAAATCTCGATTTGCATGTATATCTACACTTTCTGAAATCTTATCAGATGTGATTACCTGAACTGGTGGTGCTTTCAGTTGATGTGGTTCTGAATTCTTGTTGTCATCAATGGATTTCTGTATCTTCTTCCATAGAACGGATTTCCTCTCCAAGTTGTGCGCTTTAAGTGAAATTATCTGTGACTTTAAACGGCCTACTTCTTCTCTGAGTTCCTGGTTTTCCTTCTGTAGTAACTCATCCCTTGCCATGTGGACTTCAAGTTTTTTCTTGAGAGAAGTCATCTCAGGCTCATTCTCTTCCTGTAGCATTGTCTCTCCTTCCCTCATTAGAAAGATAGCTATAAGATGGTTACCAATTTGATAGCTTGTTTTTCTTCTAAATTTGGTCTTGCTTTTGAAGTAAGGTTGGTATGTGGGAGTTAAATCTGCAAGAATGCCCCTGAAAATGCTTCCAATGGTTTTATGGACATGAAGGGGACAATGGTCTTGATAAGGGTGCTTTGGACATTTCACTCTACTTTAATGCACTTTGCCATAAAGACTCATTATGGTTTCTTTGTAACAAATTTTATGGAGATGGGAGATTACTTGGGCTTGATGGCAGCGCTAGTATGTGATAGCTGCACTTAGAGTGCCATGTTAGGTACAACCTTAAATTCTTTGGTCAAATTTACTCTACTTTAATGCTTTTGATTTTAGATTAATCTTTTTTGGGGTGGGATTTCTTGCTTTCTAATTTGTTCTGGTGTCATATCTTTGTGGGTTAATGGTACACCTATGCTGCAGAAGTTTGCCATGTGAGGTTATTTGGCCTTGGTGAGTATATGCTTGTCTTGTCTCGTTAACTTCTACTTTTGAATCATGTCCACTCTTGACTCTTATTCAATTCATATTTTCTATTTACTTTAAAAGTGGCAAAAAATGGAACTAGTTAGTATACCAAACTGGTTATAAAGTCCTAACATACCTATCTCTTTAATATTTGCATCTCTCTCAATGGGTCAACCAAGCTCCATGGTGATGGTTGCCTTTTTTTCATCATTTGAGAAGTGCCCTTCTTCTAGTTGAATGGCATTTGGCTATTTCTTTGCTTGTGAAGCAATGAAAAGTAAGGAAGGACAAAGGAGGTAGGAAAATGTATCTCATTGAGAGAGTGAAAATATTCAAGGAAAGGTGGTGATTACTACAGCATACCAAATAAGATCCCTGTGATATCTACATCTTCTTTTCTCAATTAATTATGTTGTCTCGAAGCCCCTTCAGAACTCCTTTGCTCTTTTTCTTACTTTCTACTCCTTCCATGGACTTAAAATCACCACCCCTTCTACCCATTCCACAACCGAAAGTGTGAAATTGATGTAGATTGGTACTGCTAAGTCTATTGTGCCTATGCTTTAGGTGAAGAACGTGGAAATAATCAGATTCATTGTTCTTAAAGTATTCATTCAAAACCTCAGAATTCAGATATTAAATTATGTCATTCCATTCTCTTTACCATCACACTACCAATTTTTAGGAACAATATGTTTTTTGTTTTTCTCTTTGGGGTAGGTAACTGATCTCATCATTCATTTTAGTTCCAACTCGAAAATCGAATATTGCACAATTAAAATATAGTATCAACTTAGAGAAAAGTGGATATGTTGATGCCCTGAATATGAGGGAAGAAGTGCAGACCTCATGCAGCATTTGAGAATTCTTGTGAAGATTCAATGACAGCCAAATTCTGTAAACATTTATTGAGCGGTTGGAGGTGTATAGTTGGCTAGTACGATCTACACATTGAATTTAAATGTTGGGTCAACAACACATGAAAGACTAAATGCATAACTTTTAACAATGTTCATGTAGCCCCACTATACCCTTGCAGGCTGTTTTAAATTGAAACCCTGTGTATTTTTCTTATATATATATATATATATATATATATATATATATATATATATATATACACACACACATAACATTGATGATGGAAGAAATGCAAGTAACATATATTATAACACATTTTTCTTTCTATTGCTCTACACATTATGTTTGCCATCGTCTTAAATTCAAACAACAATTTTTATCTGTTATTTATTTTTGTTTCTGTGATATTGGTGTTGATTAATTATTTATTGGAAAAATGAATTGATAACTTTTAAGGAAATTGCTCCTTCTAACCATTTTTTTTTCGTTCATAAAGTTTGAATTTAAAATTTTGCTTAAGAAATTTGGGTCTAATATCACTTAGACCAATATCACGTTAGTGAGTTTTGTTTTTTTGTTTTTTTAATTGAACTTGTATAAATTTTATGAGATATAAAAAATAATTTAATTTATATATACCTTAGGTGTATTGTATATCGATTTTTACTCAATCCATTAAGAGACAATGCCATTTAAGACGTGTGTTTATTTATTATTTAATAGATTTATGTAACAATTCATTTTTATATTTTAGTATCTTTTTAATTAAAAGAGATTTTTTTTACAGTGGTCTATCAAATTTTTAGGCTCTCTCTAATAACCACATATTTCACTTAAAATAAACATGTAATATATAACTTTCCAAAAACAAATAAATTAATATATTTAGCATTTTTTTTACTAAAATGACATCATTTTATGCTTTTTTTTTAAATAATACACATGTGTTATTTAACAACATAAAAAAAATCAATATAAATCTTAAATTATAATTTATTAAAATAAGATAATATAATAAAAAAATTCAGGAGTTTAATTTTCATATATTATTATAAATGAAAATAAAATATATAGTCAATCAATTAGAATTAGTTTTAATGACTTTTAAAGTAGCTATTTTATGATTTCACAATCTTCAACATATACAAATAATTTTGATGACACTAAACAAATTAACATTTACGCTATTCATATATTTTAATTAAATTCGAGTTTTAGTAAAAATATATAATTGATGATTGAATAAATGTGTCTGTCTAATTCATGGCTTGAATTCTAAAGTAGGATTAAATTTGAGAAAATGTCAAGAGAAAACACTCGTATCTTATTAGTAGCCATCTCCCAAATAAAAAAAATGAAGTTTTCTTTTAAAAGCAAATAGAAAATGAAGTTAGAGTGCATATATATATATATATATATATATATATATATATATATATATATATATATATATATATATATATATATATATAATGAGAGATAGCTAATTTCCCCAACCTTATAATTGTCGTTGGAAATAATATTTTGCAAATTATATTAGGGTTGGATTTGATAGTTGGTAGTCTCCAATGTGATAATGAAGAGAAAACTAGTGAAATTATAGAAGCTGATAGGAGGCACTTCATAGAAAAGAGATGCTGGTTTAGAACAAGATGATGGAATCAAGAAAAAGCAAACGGATTCAATTCCTATTAGCACATGCAAAAACTGTTATAGAACTTCTGAACTTTTCAATTTCATCCTGTTCAATTAGAAATGGTTAGAATTGTGAGGCTCGGTGTGTATGTTGGGAGCTATACAGAACATGGTTGAAGAATGTAGAATAATATTAATAGTATTGCATAAATATGTACCTGTGTGTATTCTACTTTTCTTGTATGAAACAAAATTTTAAATTACATTCTTAGATACAGAATCACGAACCTAGAGCTCAATGATGTAAAAATCTACAACTGATTGATCTTGATAACTGCCTTGCAGAAATTACTGTCAATGTTTTCTTTAACCAACATTTACAAACTGACTATTTTCTTCTATGCAAATACCTTGGTGAAAGGGTTAGAGTTAGACATGGTAAACCATACCAACTTCTAGTAGAGAAGTATGAGCTACGTTCAAGTAAACATCAGGGTCTCTGCAATTTTTGCTTAGGAAAGCATAAACAACATTTATGGCAAATTTCTTTAGAATGGAGGATGATTTCTTTGCCTCTGCATAGGAATGTCCAAGTATATAGGTGACACCAGACTCCTTGGCTCCTAAAATCTGCATAGATTCATCTTTAGAGGGAGAATCTTGAAGATGATCATTGTCACACTTCTTCACACGTAAAACACATGAAAGTGGGAAGTTTTTCTCTATGTAACATGAATTATTCAAAGTGTGTGGTGAAACGGCTTGGTGTTCCATATTTAAGTTTCCACCATCCATACACAATTCTTCTGGTGTTGGTGCAGGATCACTCTCCTCTATTTCTACAAATTGTATTATTGCACCAACCAATTTATTCTCAAAATTGTAGTTCTCTTGTTGCAGATCCTTGTAACCATACCTGACAATGCAACAAAACATTCGGTACTCCTTCGGACCAATCCTGCTGATGACCAACCGTTCATTGTCACTGACACAAGGGACTTGAACTGCTTTGACACATACAAAAACTAACACCTGATGGAATGCTGGCAAGTTTGTGACAAAGTGGCCAAAAATAGCAGGCACACCTGAAGCCAGATTACTGAAAATGATTCCTATTCCCGGGACACGGACCATGCCTAAGCAAGGTCCCAAGGAAAGTATCTTGCTCATTGAAACCTTGTTCTCCACATCAAATTCATGTTTCTTCATTGTTCCATAGTTCCAAGTGAACATTATACTCATAAAGATAAAGGATAGCACAAGGGGGATCCATCCTCCTTCTGGGACTTTGCAGATAGAAGCTGAGATGTAAAGCAGTTCAATTGATCCAAATAATACCAAACATATAATGGCTTTTATTATTCCCTGCTTCCAGACAATGACCATTACTAGTGTCATCAAGCATGTTGTCACAAACATTACAGTGGTTATGGCCAACCCTGCAGACCAAGCAACATAGTTAGAACTTACTTGTCATACTTCAAATATCATAATTAAACATAGTGGGAAAGAAATGTACCATATGCATGACCCATCATGTCTATATCCCTAAGGCCAATTGTGACGGCTAAACAAAGACACATTAATATCCAATTGACTTCTGGAACATAAATCTGTCCATATATTCTGCTTGAAGTATGAACAATCTTAACCGGCGGAAAACAATGCAACGCACAACACTGGCTGACAATGGAAAAGGTGGCAGAAATCACTGCTTGACTTCCTACAATGGCCGCGAAAGTTGCCACTACAAAAACTGGCCAAAACACAGTTTCTGCAGAGAATAGTAGCACAATTACACTAGAGAGATCATAAATAACATTGACAACTTGTTGTTTCTTGAAATAATTTCTTGCCTGGTATGGCTTTGTAGAAACTACCCTGAATATCCTGATGATGCTTAGAGAGAAACGCAGCCTCTCCCATATAGGCCAAAATCAGGCAGGGATACACTAGACATGTGAAAGCTACCTGAGATTTAA